ATCAGAAGGCACACGCTCACACTGCTCACACATAAGACTGGCTCTTAGTTCCAGGTCTACATAGAGATGTGTCTCAGCGGCAGGTGACAGCTGGGCAGAGGCACGTCTGGCATGATCCACACATTTCTCCCCGATCTCCACCTGAGATCAGGGGACTTTATGTGACCTCCTCCACTCCTTCTGCTGTTGTGGCTGAGCCTCTCTGTCCCTGTCCTCAGCATCGCTCCTGGACTCTAGGAGTCTCCTTCCTGGTTTTTAAAAGGCTGTCGCTGCCCAGGAATCCTGCCTTCCTTCTTTTCACTGTTCATCTCTGCTCTGGGTTTAGGCTGTGGAGAAACCAAAAGGGCAAAGACTGAAAATGTTCCCTGTCCCCCTGCTGCAAGCTCCCTTCTGATCCATAAGCCTCTCAGTAATGAAGTGCCCTGTGTCGTGTCCGGCTGGCCATGCAGCCTGCTCAATGCTCACTGGCAGGTGTGTAGGGAGGTCCTCTGGCCACACCAGGAGGAGGGAGCTGGCCTGGGTGTCCAGGAAGGCCAGAGTGCTGAGCTGCAAGGTTTATCTTTCATGAGTAAAAGAGGAGGACAGCTGTGAGTCCTATAATCAGAGCAGATCTACTGGGAGGTACATTCACCTCATTTCTTCTCTTCTTAGATGGACTCTGGATCAAGAGATACTCAATAATGTGCTGGAGGAACCCATTAAACTTCCCCCAGACTCTGGGTTAGCCTCTACCACCTCCTGGGTAAGTACATTTAGAGGCCAGCACTCTGAGTGAGCCTTCACCTACGTGGCTCACACTGGTCAGATTGCTAAGATCCCCACTGATTTAGGAGACAGGTGACCTGTCAATGGGACCCTAAACAAGGATACAGGCTTCACCTGCCCTCAGCATCAGCCACAACACTTGTGGTCAAGCTGGGCAGTGGTGGCGCATGCCTTTAATCCCAGCACTCGGAAGGCAGAGGCAGGAGGATCTCTGTGAGTTCGAGGCCAGCCTGGGCTACAGAGTGAGTTCCATGACAGGCTCTAAAGGTACACAGAGAAACCTTGTCTTGAAAACAAAAAACAGAAAACAAAAACCTTGTGGTCACCTTCCCTAGCCTCGTCTACAGTTTGGCTTTCCCAGCAGCTGTTTGGATGGCAACGGCCAGAGTCCTGTGTCATCTGCCAGCTCAGGGCTGAGGAACTGGGTAGTGCTGACACACACACAAACCCTCCTGAAACTAAATAGCCCATGAAATGAAGCTGGAGATGAATAATGTAGACCAAACATAGGGAGACAGAAGCAGCCACCCTCCTGCATGGACAGGTGGGAAGTGAGCTCAGAAAGGAGATGTTCTTGGAGACATGAATTTTTAAAATTAATAACATCCAGAGCCCTGCTAGAAGGATTTTGCAGCTGTGATACATGATAGCATTCACTCTGGCTGAAAGTCACAAGGGAGTCTCTAGTGACTCACACTTCCACAGGACACACGACACCCCACTCTCATCCCATCCCACTGAATGGGGTCTTTCCCGGCAACCACCATCTCCTGGTTTAGCCAAAAGGTCTATGAAGCACCATGTGCAGCAGCCCTGCCCCACTGCTGAAAGGAGAGAACCCAGGCACCAGCCAGCCAGGAAACAAGACCCAGCTACTCCCTGGGCCTGGGTGCCCAGAGCCTATCAAATATCGACCTGCCGAGGAGGACAGACTTGGACAATGGAGGAGCAGTGGGTGCCAGTTCTGTTTACACCCTGCGCCATGATCCTGCTTAGGACCCCTAGCCCACTGGTCTTGGCATCGACTAGGTAACCTTAGAAAAACATTGCTGTGTAGCTAGGGCTTTAGAGTTGGTTTTAAAAACACCGGATCAAACTTCGTCTTGAATGTTTTCCCATTTATTTTCAGCATCATGTTTTCCAGGATGTCTTCCTTCCTGCCTGCCCTTCTTCCAGGAGCTGCGACACCTGACCCCTGGTGGAGCATGGTGCATGGGTTTGAGCAAACCAGACAGACTCTCATATGACAGAACGAGGTGCAGTATGATGGCACAACATTCCTTGGGGACTCGTTTCAGTGGAGCTCATGTCCAGGATGGCATGTATCTGACAGACCCAGACAGGATATCAACTAAAGAAGAATCAGCGATCTGCCACGATGGGACAATCCCATGGAGGAGGCTGACTTGCTAATATACCCATATTTGGCTCACAGGAAAGGAACCCAACCTTACCCCCAGCTCCTCCGGTGGGGACCTGGCCGTGCCCAGGCTGGATACCATCCTGAGCCCTGAAGCCTTTCTTCTTCTTCTCCAGTCTTCCCCAGCCAAAGCCAGGATCCCTCGGCCCAGCCACAGGGATGGGATGGGATGGGATGCCTGCTTTGCAGACCCTACTGTCCACAGAGCCCCTGCTGACGGATCTGTCAACAGCCTTCTGCTCCTGGTGCTACCCAGTCGGGGACGGCTGCTTCAAGGCGAAGGGATGAGGGTAGCAGAAGGCAGTCCCCAAGTTTCCAAGGCCGTGTGGTCATAGGTATAGGCCCTTGTTGCTTTAATGAAGTCTGTGGTGGGAAGCCCCATCATCTACGGTTACAGCTTGTCAGTTTTGGGACATCCACAGTGTGTTTCGTTTCTATTCACCTCAGGGATTTGATCAGCTGAATTCAACAGATATACTTGTGGATACATATGGCATCATCTGCATAATATTGACTTTCTGTAAAAAAGACAGTGCCAGAGTGTAACACGTTCCTAGTGCTGAACATGTTCAGTGCTGTCAATCAAATAGCTACATATCCATCCTGCCAAAAGGAGACAAATAGAGCAGTTCCAAAGACACACACACAGAGATGCACACAGATGCAGCACATGTGTCAATGTGTCATGGGTAGATGGTGAATGAAAAAAAAAGAAATAAAAGGAAAGGACATGATGCTCCTGGGTACAGTGGAGGAGAAAGTTTATTATAGATATGTAGGAGAGCATAGTCAGAGTTAGGGACATCTGGGAGAGTCCAGAGTGGACAGGACCAGACTGAACTATGTCATGTGAGGAGATGGGGGAAGGACAGGGAGAGAGGAGACAGGGGAACCAGGTGCAGCAGCCAGGAGGCCCTAGGTACAAAGAGAGCAGGGAACCAAAGTGGTTGGATTATATAGGGAAGAGCAGTTGGGGAAGGGCAGCCCAGTAGGGGGTGCAGTATGCCAGCCAGGAGGACCCTGTAACAGGTAGGAACTGGGGGATGCCAGGAGAACCTGGCAGCCAGGTCCACTTTGACATGTTAACTAAGTACCTCAGCCATTTGGCCCCGGTTTGGACCCTAACAGTCTGCATGACTGGAAAAGATAGCACAGAGGAGAGACCAGTGATAGCTGGGTGATGCCTTTGTATTTTAGTTTGGTCTGGACCACCCAAATGCAGATGGTGACTAGCTAACAACAGGTGAGCTCAGTGCCAGGGCCACAGCGAAGAAATAACCGACAGCCACGAAATATCAAGTGTCCCTTATCCCTCCAGCTTCCCATGGGACATGCTGCCAGCCCCTCTCCTCCCTGGATGATTTCCAATGGATGGGAGCTGATGGAGAAACATCCCCTGGAGGCGTTGGTGGTCTGGGCTCACTTGCATGCACTGAGGGATGGGTGTCCAATCAGCTTGTATGACACCCAGCTCTGATCCAGCCCTTTCCGAACCACAGTCTACCTTAGAATCACGTCATGGGTGTCTCGACTCCTCTGTTGCCGTGACAAAATGCTATGACCAAGGCAACCTTGAAAACATTTCATTTGGGGCTCACAGTTCCAGAGGATTAGCGTCCATGGCGTCACAGAGGGGAGCATGGCAGCAGGCAGGCCGACACGGTGCTGGAGAAGTAGCTGAGAGCTTACATCTGACCCACAAACACGAGGTGGGAGAGAAAGAGAGCTAACTGGGAATGGTGTGGGCTTCTCAAAGTCCATCCCCACTGACACACCTTCTCCAACAAGGCCGCACCTCCTAATCCTTCCCAAACAGTTCCAACGGGAAACCAAGCATTCAAATATATGAATCTATGGGGCCGTTCTCATTCAAAGCACCACAGTGGGGCTTTAAAAAGTTCCATGTGCCCAGACCAACCAAGTCAGTCATGGGAAAGCACAGCTGCTTCTAGAACCTCACTGTGACTTCCTTGTACCAGCTGTTGAAGGTCTACTGACAGGCCCCTCAGATCTTTCCTGAGAAGTGGGCTTTCCATCATGGCCACCTAGCAGATTTGGTCTTGGCCTCAGCCCTCATCACAAACCTCCTTCCTGGCTTCTCTCCACTTTGCTTGCCATCCCCTGACACTCTAGAGAATTTGTGTGTTACTTTGACGTCGGCCATATCCCACCGAAGCAGCCACATGAGTGGGATTTTTCTCTACTCACCCTGGGCCAGGGCCTGGGCTAGGCACTGCCTGGTGACAGGATTGGTAAGTGCTGCTGGTGGAGAGTAGAGATTGGCACAGGATGATTACCCTGGCAATGAGTTCAGCAAACCTTTCTCCACCTGTCTCATGTGTGTGTGGACACCCCACGCTGAAAGTCCCCTTCCCAGGTTCCAGGGGACACCTCCATTCTTCCTCACATCCTTCTTCATGTCCCGCCTATCTTGGGTTAGCAGCAAGGTCTGTTCTATTCTCTACCTTGTAAAGTATTTCCAAACTCTGGGAGCTAAAGAAAGACACACATGCAGATACCTGACATCAGTGAGCTCCCCAAACCTGACACTTACCCGAAGGATCCAGGGCCACACCAGGGCCAAGGAATAGGAAGCAGCGCCAACTTTCTTTAGAAATGTCATTATTTGCCCACACCTCCCCCTCTGCAGAGTCCTGTCAACTGTCCTCACTCACACCACTCAGGGGTTTAGCTGCACTTACTTGAAGAAGTGCAAAAAATGTGGGTCTTAGTCAGTGTTCTATTGCTGTGAAGAGACACCATGACCACGACAGCTTTAATAAAGGAAAACATTTCATTGAAGCTTGCTCAAAATTTCAGAGGTTCAGTCCATTATCATCACGGCGGGTAGCATGGCAGCACACAGGCAGACATGGTACTGGAGAAGGAGCTGAGAGCTCTGGATCCTGATGCACAGGCAGCAAGAAGAGAGAGACACTGGGCCTGGCTTGAGCATTTGAAACCCCAAAACCCACCCCCAGGAACACACTTCCTCTAACAAGGCCACACCCACTCCCAATCTCTCTCAAGTAGTGCTACTGTCTAATGACCAAGCATTCAAATATTTGAACCTATAGGGGTCATTCCAATTCAAACCACCACATTCCACTCCCTGACCCCCAAAGGCTTGTAGCTATATTATAATACAAAAATGCATTCAGTCCAACTTCAAAAGTCCCCATAGTCTATCACAGTTTCAACACTGTTTAAAAGTCCAAAGTGTCTCCTGAGACTCATGGCAATCTCTTAAGTATAAGCCCCTGTAAAATAAAAGTCAAAAAGCAGATCACATACTTCCAACATACAATGGCACAGGATATACATTACCATTCTAAAACATAAAGAAGGGACCATAGTGAGGAAATACTGGACCAAAGCAAGACCAAAAATCAGCAGGTCAAACAACTCCCCATACCCATGTCTGATGTCAAAGTGCTCTTCAGATCTCCAACTCCTTTCAGCTTTGTTGACTGCAACACACTTCTCTCTCTTGGGCTGGTCCCACTCCCTGTTAGCAGCTTTTCTTGGCAGATATTCCACAGCTCTGGCATCTTCAACATCTTGGGGTTTCCAAGGCAATCCAGGCTTCTCCTTCATAGCTTCAGGCAATGGCCTCTCTGGGCCTCCATACAGGGACATCCTTGACAGCCTGGCCTCAGCAGCTTTCCTTAGTCTCACAGGGAGATTCCACACCCCTTTCTTCTATCCTTGACTCTAAAGCAAAACCATGCGGCTGAAGCTGCCAAGATCTGCTGCTTGCTAGAGCTGGAACATGGCCCCCCTATTCAATTACATCTGCATCTGTTTTCTGTTGATTGTTTCCTTTACTTCTTAAGATTTCGTTAATTCCTTTTCACAAATTAGAAGCTTAACTGAGTAGAGTCTTGTCTGAGATCACCACTCCCATTATTCCATTTAGCATCAGACTTTTCTTAAATCTGTCTATCTCCTTGAGCACAAGACTTAGCTCCATTCCACTTCCTGGAGTCCCTTTTTCTCCTCAAACTGTACGTTTTGTATTTTTCCTTGCTCAACTTGCTCTTTTTCACTATAGAGTTGCATAAGAGTGGCCACTAGTAACCACATGACATTCTCAATAATAGACTGTTTTAAAATCTCCTCTGCCAATGTCGTTAATCCAAAACTCTTATATTTAGCCTCAGGCAGCCACATTCTTCACGAAAATATCCCAAGAACAGTCTCTAGGCAGCTTACTAAGATTCTATTCCTCTGAAACCTTTTGAGCCAGGCCATCATAATCTACACGGCTCTCAGCCCCACTGTCTTTCACGCTCCTCCTAGCATGACCCATTAAACCTCAAAAGCACTCAAATGCTTTCCTAGTCCAAAGTCCCAAAGTCCACATTCTGCCAACAAGCATGGCCAGGCCTGTCACAGCAATACCCAGCTCCCTGGTACCAACTTCTGTCTTAGTCAGTGTTCTCTTGCTGTGAAGAGACACCAAGACCACAGCAACTCTTATAAAGGAAAACATTTAACTGGAGCTTGCTTACAGTTTCAGAGGTCTAGTTCTTTATCATCATGGCAGGAAGCATGGCGGCATGCAGGCAGACATGGTGCTGGAGGAATAGCTGAGAGTTCTACATCTGGATCAGCAGGCAACAGGAAGAGAGAGACACTGGGCCTGGCTTGAGCATTTGAATCCTTAAAGCCTACCTCCAGGAAAAAAAAAACAACACTTCCTCTAACAAGGCCACACCCACTCCAACAAGGCCACACCTCCTAATCCCTGTCAAGTAACTCCACTCCCTAATGATGAAGCATTCATATCTATGAGCCTATGGGGGCCATTCCTTTTCAAACCACCACAGTGTATATATACCATCTTGTCTAGAACCAGAAGTCTACATTGTTTGGTAAAATTCTAAAGTTGACAGTTCACTTTCTATTGCTATGACAAACCACAGACAGGGTAATTTGTGAAGAGGTTTATTTAACCCACAGTTTTGGAAGCTGGAAAGCCAAGATGAGTGGCCTCTGGTGATGGCACAGTGGACTCACAAAGAGAATGTAGACAGCCGGGAAGCCAGGGGGCTCAGGGTTAGACCCACGCCCATAGAGGAATCCACTCTCTTACAGCCCAGACAGAACCCCACAGAAATAGCTAAGCCTTTCCAAAGAACTCCCACAAAAGACCAGCTCCTTTCCTCTACCTTTGAAAGTCCCCACTACTACCCACATTACCTCACAGGAGATACAGACCTTGGGGCATGCATAAAACCTTCATCAAACCATAGCTGGAGACTTGGGTGTTTAGCCTCCCAGACCACTTGTGACATGATTTTGGGTTTGGAAAGAGTTCCAGGGCCTGCTGGAGAATTTCATCATCCTTGATAATTATTCCTATAATTATCAATAAAATCCAAAAAAAGGAATGAAGTCCAAACCCAGTTTGAATACGCCGCAAAAGCTGACACGGCCCTACTGTTCATGGTGGGTTCCTGCCATTCACTAGATGACCTCCAACTCCCAGAGTCCTCTCTGTCTCGTCTAAAGTGCCTCCTCTACCAGGTCCCTTCTGAGGGTGAAGAATTACTAGAGCCATTGCAGAAATGAATCTCACCACAGCTGTATATCTCTGAGTGGTCAAACGTGAAACAGTTCACCGCATGCTGGCGACCTGGGTACAAGACAGCCTGTATCTCACAGGGCTCCCAGGTAGGCTTCTAGTCTGAGAGATGTCTCCTCATCTTGAGGATAAAAAGGTCCCTTCCTGTAGAGTCCCTAGCACAGGCCTGTGTAGCAGCGTCCATGACATCTTTCAACTGGTGATGGTCCTCTGCTAGCTGTCTTTCTGGGAGATTATAACCAAGATGGCTGGCAGCTGTCAGAATCAGAGTGAATAAGTTGCAGCTCCCTGGGGTCAGCGTCCAAGCAAGACCTGAGCTCTAGGACCTAGGAGTTTCTAAGCTCTGGTGATGAGGAGGGACAGTGGGAATGGGGGAAGCTCTTTAGACCAAAAGGTCACTATCCCTGAGAGAACACCTATGGTAGAGGTCCCCTAAAACGGTCAAAGAAAGCTTTAGGACAGGAGTTGGCTAAAATCTCCACCCAGAGAGCACAGAGCAAGCAATTCATCCTTCACTCAGTACCACCCCTCGGGTAAAGCTAGCAGTGCCCTGCATGGACAACCGAGAACATGGCTGCTGGGTGTCTGTGCTCACTAACTGAGCCTTAGAATGGATCCCTTTGAGTGACACTCAAGCTTACGTATGTGAGTGGGCCCGAGCGAGAAGAGACCTCCCCGATTAGACCCTAAGAGACACAGAAAAGCAAAGCAGCATGGCTCCCAATCCCATCCCTTCTTGTTGATGGGTCTGCAGCAGGCTGGCTGGATTTAGATGTTTGAAAAGACTTACAGGGCACCCATTTAAATCTGAATTTCGGACAAACAATGAATAGTTTTAGTGTAAGTGTGTCCCAAATACGGCTGAGACATACTTACACTGGGAGAGTGTTCACTAGTCATCTGAAATTTAAACTGGACTGTATGTCTTGCTCTTTAGTCTATGGTGCAGGGTGGGGGCTGGCACTGAGTCTATGCAGCCACACAGATTCCACCGTCAGCTCCACGAGCTCTGGGCAGGGCAAACAGGAATGATGGCTAGTGTAACAAGGACCAGGCCTCCCCAAAACCTGATGAGGCTGCCAAAACCCACCTTTTTCACACTCCTCTGCCCCAGTGAAGACCAGGATGAGACAGCCAAACTGCCAGTGTCTTCAACCCAGAGCCTATTAAAATGAGCTCCAGAATATAATAAAATAAAACATGCATCCAGGACTTGATACATGTGTGATACTCTGCAGGATGGAGTGAACAGGGAAGGGATGATGGGAGATTTGCCTTATCTACAGCACTCAGCACTAATCAGCCACAGGACTACTGGGTCCCAAGGGGTCCCAGGCCATGGTCCAGGAGGTACGGACACTGCCCCAAGGACCCTCCAGAGCACCCCACAATTCCACAGTGTCAGATTCTCCAAGAAGAGCAGAATCCTGGCACGGACTTCTTTAGCATCCAACATTAGTCCCCAGGATATCATGTGTGCAAGGCACCTCTATAGCAATATCTGAACTTCCCCACAGTGCAGCTGGCCTGGGGTTTATTGGTGGCATGTTCTTGACAGATGCTTATACCCTGCACAACTTGGGGGACACCGGTCCAGTGTTGCAGTCCAGTGCTGGCTTTATCCAGCAATCTTCCAAAATTATTGGGTATATATCGGTCACCTTTCCTCACAAACGAGGAGAGGCTGTGTGGCACAAAGATGGCCTGAGAACACAGATACCCACTACAGGTGTAATGACTGTGTGAGGACTCTGGCATACACCACATATGGCGTGTCTTTGCTCAAGCATCCGCCACACATGACATTAGCATATAAAGACTTGGGCCCCCACCACATGTGACATGACTATGACAATTTGAGTATATACCACATATGGTGTTGGCCGAGGACAGAGACCGTAGCTGTCTGAGGTAGCTGTCTCCATTCTCGAGAGGAGGCAATGACTCTCAGCTAAGTCCAGGTCAGTCTATCCTTTCTACTCCCTGAAGACTCAGTAGCTCCAAATTGGGGTCCATGGAGCAGGTGGTGATCAGTAAAGGCAGCTGAGGAGGCAGGAAGCAGGCAAGGAGGGGTCTGGGGTAGACCCCCAGGTACAGCCCTGAAATATTAACTCAAAGTACTGGGAGATCCATGCTGAATGTGGGTTTCTGACCATCCAAGCTCCTGGCCACACATCTATACACAGAGGTTCTTTGAGTATTTGTATCTTACTATTCAACCTGTGGCCTTTTTGTCTCTTTTGAATGAAATATGACAAAAATATGCCAAGTCTGTAGGGTCTAGACCGAAAGTCTTGCTTGCGCCACAAGAAGCCACAGTTGCCGGGTGATCTGGGTGGAGTGAGTACAGGCTGACACCAAGGTCGCATTTTTCCCATGAGCTCAGTACACTTTCCTCTCTTTACACACCAGCTCCCTGCTTCCCTCAGATACTTGGCTAGGAGATGAGACACATTCCTGACTTGGATGTAGGGGCTGCCTCCTCCACAGTGATTCCCTTCATGTCATCCGGCATTTGACCATCTGGGCGCCACACATTCAGGTCCCCAAAGATACCAGTCTCAATCATCTCCTCCTGCCAGGGAATGGGGCAGTTGCCAGAGGCAAATTCTTGGAAGAACTCCGTGTCCGCTTTGTCAAAAACCACACCCTTGACTGTGGAAAAGGCACCCACGTCCTGTATGTTCTTGGCATAGACAGTCCTAGAGTCTGGGATGAATGGAGGGATCAGCATCCCTGTGAAGAAACAGGAAAGAGAGATACCCATGGTGAGGACACTGCTGGGCTGGGCCAAAGGGTCCCCACAGACATACAAAAGACCAGCTGCTGTTCCTAATGCCAACAGAAAAAGCCAGCATCCCGAAGCAGGTCCATCCCTCATGCTCAGCGCTCACAGACTGGATGATGGACAGGGTGGAAGATGCCCAGATCTGGTTAGAAAAGTGTGTGTATGTGTGTGTGTGTGTGTGTGTGTGTGTGTGTGTGTGTGTGTGTGTGTGTTTCTGAGGCTGCCCTGAAGTCACAATCCTCCTGCCTCAGTCTCCCCAGTGCTGGAGCTACAGGTCTGATTCACTGTGCCAGCTAGGAAGCCTTTTGAAATAAATTCCAGCACTTGGCTCCTCTATCTCCCCCAGACCCTGCCCCCAAAATCTCCTTGTGAGCCAAGCATCTTGAAAAACAGGGCCCTCGGTCCCTCACATGGCGACCACACCTTCTCTGCAGCCCCAGGCTCAGAGCTCTTGCCCGGCCCCAGGTTGGCATCACAGGGGCAGATGTCAGACTGAACTCTGCAGCCTCCCTCCCAGCCAGTTTCACTTCTTGATGGAAGGGACAAGATGCAGAATGTTGTTCTTATAGAGCCCAGGTGCCGCTGCCGACCTAGCCTCCGGCCCTGACTTCCCCTGAACGTTTGGCCCCACCCGCCACCCTGCAGTACCTAAGCCACTAACTCCAGCTTCCCAACAGGCCTGTGCTGGTCCAGGCTGGCTGCTGGCACCCAAGTGTGACCTCTTCACCTGGCTTTCTCCGACATGCCTGACTCAAACCTCCTGGGTCCCACTACTCCCTTGCCCCTCTGAAAACAGTCCCTGGCCCTCCTGAGCCAGGACCCTTGCATTCCTTGTGGCCTCATCACGAAAGCTCTGCCAGGGCAGCCCGTCTTCGGGGGAGCTGCTTAGCTCTTCCGCCCGAAAGTTACTTCTCTTGGGATAACCTTCTACTCCTGTCTATGGATCCTAGCTTGCCCTGTAGGTGATCACAGTTACGTTGAAAATGTCACCTGGAGGGCAAGGCTATGCCTTATATTCACCCTTGAAACGCACATGCACAGACACATTCAGGGGTGTACACACACACACACATACACACACACACCATGCACACCACCACACACATAGACATTAGATGTACATTTAAACATGCACAGGCAAGTACATGTGCACACAGGCACATGAGCATGTGTCCATGAATGGGCTCACACACAAGCAGCTATACACGCATGGATACACAGATACATGTACACACACACACACACACACACACACACACACACACACACGACACACACCGTATCCTATGACAAACAATGTGGAGTAAATGAACGTCTCACAGTCAGACAAACTGCCTCACTTGAACCCTCGGCTCTCTAGAATACAGGCTGAGGCAGGGAAAGGTCAGGAAGCAGACCTAGCTCTTTAACGCTGGCTTGCTGCCCACATTTCCCACCTGACTTTAACCTGCCTGACCCCAGGGCCCAGTCCTGGGATCCTGGAGATGAGTGGAGGACTAGATGAGGTGTCAGAGGCTAGCTGGGGTCCCACAAGTCCTCAGCTCAGTCCACGGCTGACCCCATGGATGAGGTGGACCATCAAGGGTCATACGGCACCAACCCCCTAAACCCTCTCAGGCTTATGGTGCCAACCATACCGGCTTCCAGCTGCCTCCAGCTGATGTCTTTGAAGAGGATGTTTGCCCTGAGTGCATCACAGGTCCCATCCCGGAAGCCCAGGCGCTTCTCCGGGTCCTTCTCCAACAGTTCCTCACAGAAGTCCTTGCTGGCCTGGCTGAACTTGTCTGGGTACTTCACGGGCTCTGAGATGATGCGCTGCTTGAGTTCCTTGTTCTCTATCTGCACGGCAGCAAATGTACCACCACTTCACTCGAGCCTTGGCCAAGCCTCAAGCCTTGGGGCTTGGTGCTCACCCTCACTGGGGTGGGGGTGGCTGATGGGCCCCTCCCAGGTGGCTTGGCGTTGAAAGCCTCAGATCTCAGGACAAAGAGACAAAAGTCCCCAGGAAGCCCCCAGTCCCCAGGAAGCCCCCAGCCACCTTATCCACACGCTTACACAGCTAGTCCACTGAACAGAAAGTGACCAGCAGTGAAAGTTACTGCTGGAACGCTTGGCTGGGTGGAGATCTCACTCAACCATGTGAGAGAAACCTAAGGTGGAAAGCTTGCCTTACTGCCTGTCAGCCTTGTGGTCTCCCAAACAAAGCTTCCCCCACACGAAGTGTATGATGCACACAGTGTGGCTCACTCCCTGACATCCCTCCCTGTAAAGCTGACACCTCCATCATCTCTCTTTGCAGGCATGGACAGAACAAACGTAGCCTGTGGAACCTGAGCGAGCAGTGCTGTTAGAGTCACTGTGGAGGGCTGGGAGACTGAGACACTTCTCCATGCGATCACATGACAGCATAGAGCTGTCAGCTCAGGCAGTGACAAGCAGGTGAACACTGTCCCTACGGAGATGTGGGAGACAGTACCTGACTTCTGGACCAGACCAACCTTTGTGCAAACAGAAACGGGCAGGGAGAGTGTCTGGGGTGGTTGTCCGAAGTCCCAAGAGCAGTGGCCTAGTGGTCACAGTTAGCTAGGGACCCACCAGGGACCTTCTTTGTGGCATCCACCCCCAGAAGGACCTAATGACAGAAGCCCGCTGTCTCATGAGGGAGAACCGCCCAGTCTCAGCTAGTGTGTGTTTGTTCTGCCCTCTGCTGGCTCGGGTGTGAAAGGACCGATTTAGAATCTGTCAATGGCGCCACCTACAGATCTCAAGAGCAGGCAGGCCTTGGGATGGAACACACAGGAGCAGGACCCCCCAGGAGCCTGCACGGGGGTATGCAGTCCTTGACACAACCCACCCATCCATGTCTGCCCCAGAATGGACCCCTGCAGGACTTGCTGACAGACGGCACCTACCTTCTCTCCTCGGGCTCGGAAGGGTCCCCTGGCTGCAATCATCTCATACAATGTGACCCCCAGGGCGAAGTAGTCTACGGAGAAGTCGTATTCTTCACCGCGGAGGAGCTCAGGGGCCATGAAACCTGTCGTCAGGAACACATATAGATTTACAGATGCATGTTTTCCCATAGCATGGTCCCCACCCAGTCGTCACAGAACAACTGAAGCCCTCATGACACCCCCCACGGGAGGGGGGGTCTCATCACAGTCATTTTCAGGACAGAAACCTCTTTGTTGTCATTGAAGGGCATTGAACATAACCCCAGCTGCTACCCACCGGATGCCCACAGTTGTAACAACCAAAAATGTGTTCCTAGGGGCAGAATTGCCCGGGGCAGGAATCTTGTTCCTCGTGTGGTATCTCACTCCTAGCGTGTGATATGAAGCCTCCTTTCCCCTCTACTCAGACTCAGAACAACGTAAAGCAGGACAGCGCACTGTGCGTGACTCGTGAGGTACACAAACGCAGACAGACCTCCTGTGACTTTCTGGCCCCTTTCCTCTTACAAGGACATAGAAGTGAGATCTGCACCCTGTAACCCAGAGGGGGCCAGTGACCCAGGTGCTGTGGCCAAAGCCCGAGGGACACGTGAGGTCACAGTCCCCTGCCTTCCTTGGACGCTTTGTCTCTGGCAACATGAACCTCCTATTAATCCTCACAGTGAAGCTACGCTGAGCTCCCTCGTGGCCCTGCCACATGCAGGACACACCTATCACAATTCAGCTTTCAGTGTCGGGAAGTAAGGCGGGGAGCAGCCTAATAGTGAGGAGGGGACTTGCTCAGGACAGCGCAGACATGGGGAAACAGTGCCACAAGTCCAGCTTCACAGAACAGCACCTGATCGAACAGCCGCTGTGCGGCCTTCTAGACAGACGTGCCCTGCCCAGTCCCCCTAGTTGTCCGGCCACAACATGGCCATTTGCACAACATGGCCATTTGCATGAAAGTCTCGACCCCTGTCACCCACCACACATGTTAATGCCCAGGGCCTACAACATAGTGTCTAAACCGTCTCCTCCCAGTCATCTTTGGAATTGCTCCTGGGCCCTAGACTGTTAGCCCTTCTGGAAGGTGAGCCGCTGACGATCCCTTCCAGAGCCATGCATGGCACGCTCCACTCCAGTACATCACCAATGTTCACCCAGTGGCCCTTGCAGCTGGGCCAAGCTAAACCCTGATCATGTCATCCTTTGTTGGGTTTTTGTAAATAATGTTGTTGCTGCAGAGCCGACACCCGTGAGTTATTGGACGAGGGAACAAGCAGATTTCTGCTTCTTCTGTAATGAACTCATTCCCTCGTGGCAGGAAGCAGAAGTCAGAGACGCACCTTTCCTATGTCCAGAGGAAGAACCTCCCCGATGCACAACCTATGGCTGTGGCCTGAGCTGGGAGGCTGCAGAGAGGGGAGAAATCTCTAGAATGGTGTTCTTCGGTTCCTGGAATACCAGCTTCTGGTTTGCTTCCTAACTCAGCATTTCCAGAGCCTCAGTGGAGGCCCAGCCAAAGGATTCACATGTGGGTAGAGATGCCGCAGCATCCACCTGAAGAGTCAGAACAAGCTCAGGAAGGTGGTGATTGGGCGGGCAAGGGTGCCCTCTTGTGGCCAGCCGGGCCTCCTACTCAGTCCTGAGCAGGACCCGTTTCTGGTCTTGAAGTAAGTTCTTCTAATCTTCAGTGGATCTGGGACGTGCCGTGGACTGGAGAGATCCAAGTGAAGTTTGGACTAGTTCATGAAAGCAGGTGCAGCCACGTCTTCACGAGGCTGTGTGATGGCTCCAGGCCAAGCTGTTTCCAGAATCCTTTTCTCAGACCTCCTTCACCCACCTCAGACCCAGGCTAGACAGCCATCATGCCTCCTGAGGACCAGATGGATCTGTCCTACCCCGGAATGTAGGGGGAAGCTCCTGTCCCTTTACCCACCATGGCATCAGAGATGATCTCAGATGGGACCCAAGGCACAGGGTCCTTACATACATGTACAAAGCAAGATCCTATCTCCACTCTGTATACATCCCAACTTAGGTTCTGTCTGAAGCCAGAGAGCCAGGGAAGAAGGAAGACATCGAAGAAATCCTGTCAGAAATCAATCTGAACATGACAACCCAGAATGTGGAGACTGGAAGGACTTAAATGCAGGTGTGTCTACCATATGTGAGTGCCGGTGTACAGCGGTCACTGAACAGACTCACAAGCCTATGTGGTAAGTGCTAGCACCGAAGGCTCTGACAGATGAGCATGCCATGAGGTCATCTAGCCGCTAAACATGGGCCTGGACCATGCATCCGCTCCACCTGACTCGGTCTCTCCTCTCCTCTGCACGAGGAGGATGAAGGCAGATCCGTGAGGAAGGAAGAAACACAAATGACCTCATGTGTGTGTGTGTGTGTGTGTGTGTGTGTGTGTGTGTGTGTGTGCACATAGACAGAGATACACCTATAATCATACATATATGTGCAAGTGTACATGTACACAAAACATATACAGATGCAGAGATGCATGCCTATACATGCACAGATACAGGTACTGAGCATACACCCAGAGGTGCTGATACACATTCACACATGAATACACTCGTACGTCCACAAATTCATGCATGAAATATGTATATATACAGAGGCGCACAAAGACATGCGCATGCACAAAGACACATTCATAAAGATGCACACACACATGTCTGCATATGTGCACACAGAGACTATCATGAGTGCATGCATACACAGAGGTGCCTTCATACACATGCATGCATGTGTGCACACAGAGGGAGTTGTGTGCTTACATACATGTACAAACAGATATGCACAGATGTTCAGAGATGCACATGCATGTATAGGCTCATGGGCATCCACACATGCACTTACACATAAAGGCGTCCATGTGTACACGCAGTCACACCTACAAGACATATACCTGTATACACCACATGAGAGCAAGCACACCTGTGGGAGTGTGTGAACACACAGGTATGCATGCACACACACAGAGACACACATGTGCGTGTACCCTGCATATTGGTGGATACCTACCAGGGTTTTACTGGAACCTAGCAAGGGCTGCCTAAGGAAAGTTCCTGCCCCCGGTGCTCTGTGGTGTGACCCACACGGTGACCCCAAGGCCCCAGCTCTTCCGTGAGACCCCCTGGACAAACTCACTCTGTCAATACCCGGGAAGCCACCGAGTGTGGGAGCCCTGTGTTCTCTCTGCCCATCGAGGTACCAGAGGGGCAGCTTCGCCACAGAGGGCGAGGCAGGAAGCCAGCGAGGCTGCCAAGGCAGGGTAGGGCTGTCACTGCAGGGAACACACAGTTCTTGAGCTGCTGAGCAAAACCTGATTGTCGCTGTTTGCCTAGGAGATAAGGGAGCCGCACTCCACAGCCCCCACTCTCTGTCACCACCTTAGGAATGGGGGACCCTGCTGCCTCTGGCTCTGGGGGAGAGGAGGACCCGGGCCTCTTCCTGGATGCCGAGCCTCTCCGGGCCCCGCCCCCAGTGCTCAGGTCTTACCTGGGGTCCCCGCGTAGCCCTTGGTCTTATTCTGCCCTTCCTTTAGCTCCACGGCCAACCCAAGGTCAGAAATTCGGATATTGCCTGAAAGCAAATATAAGCCGAGGTCACGCACATTCCACAGAACAGAGGTGGCAGGTGAGCCCAGGGCTCGGCAGAGCTCCCCTGCACAGTAGAAAAACGCACGTACACACATGTTCTGTGTACACACATACCACACTCTATACACACATATCCACTCCCCACAAAGATACAGCATACACATAATAGGCATACCACACATATCTTACACACAAACATGTAACACCTGCCACACGCATACGTACAGACAGATAGATACTCATATACCACACAGCTCACACCACTGTCCTTTATACCCTAACACCCACTAGGCCCCTCTGCAGTGACTTTCAAAGAGGCTGAAGAAGCCATGCTTGGGTCCCTCCCTCCACTCCGGGGGCTCACCGTCATTGTCCAGCAGCACATTCTCCGGCTTGAGGTCCCGGTACACAATGCGTCTCTGATGCAGGTGCTCCAGACCACTGATGATTTGGGCCGTGTAGTAGATTGCTCGTGGTTCTGGGAAGCCAGGGTTCTCTTCATCCACATTGTAGATGTGGTACCTGGGGGCAGAACATTATGGGAGGTACCCACACAGGGCTGAAGGGCAGTAAAGTGCAGAAACAGCGCCAGGGTCTTAGGGCACGCACATATCAACACAGCATGGTCACCTGGGGGCCAAGCATCAGTGTTCTCCCAAAGAAACCCAAGGCTAGAGGCCTCAGATACCTCACACCTTACCCACGACTGTTAGAGGGACATACAAGCTTGTTACTCAACACCTGCTTCCTTCTGACCCCAGCGCAGTGCCAGGACAGGGCCAAGGGAGGTGAGTCAGCCCCAGTTTCTTAAAACACAAGCGACTCCAAGTCTCTAAGAACACCTGTGGTCTGCTCCAGCAGACCTTGAACCCTTGGGTGGATCTGACACCAACACTTCCCTCACAGTCCCCTCTCCACAGGCCCCTCAAGTGTATCCCTTTTTTTCACTCTTTCTTGCACACGCCACCCCAACACTTTACAGGGAAGTGAAGCAAGCTCAGAGCCAGAAGACGTGAATGACCTAAGCCGCAGGGAGAGTGGGTGAAGACCAGAGGCCATGGAGATACCAGAGGCCCCTGGGGATGGGGACAGAACAGCCCGCCACGCTAGGATCACCCAGCATCCCTTGCAGCCCTCTTCCTCTTCTATGGGATTCTCACAGACTGGTTGTCTAGACCTCCTATGCCTCGTCTGCTCGAGCAGTGATGTAAACAAAAGCAAGGAAGGGGGAGACACGGGCTTTTGCAAGTTATAGTTCCCTTCAGTGGCACCCTCCAGCCCCAAAGCACCCCAGGGTCTCACCGCGCTAGCCTCGTGCACCAGGTACCTAAGAATCTCATCATTTTAACTCTGTGTGCCAGTTATCCCAGGGTCTCACCACTTACTTCATCCTCCGGACACTGGCTTGGTCATTATTATTATTTGTATTTTACAGAACAGGAAACTGAGGCAAAGAGTGGTGAAGTCATCAAGCCAGTTAAGGCCGGTGACCTGATCTCCCCAAGGACGCAGGAACCACCTCAGAACACCATCAGGCTCGGCCAACCCAGGCACCAACAGGGGTGGCACTCTCCTATGTAGGCAATAGGCAAGCTGGCTCGAGCTGGTCTTCCAGCTCTATCCCTACAGGAGTAGCCACTGATGGAATTGCTCATTTTAATTTCTTAGCCCTCTCAACCCATGGTAGCCCATCACAGCCATCCAAAGCACCACATGCCCCCTGTCACCTGTCCCCGACAATCATGGAGATACTCGAGAACATGCAATGACAGATACAGCCTAAGTCCTGGGCCCCACGGGACGTGAACTGTGTACCCTAGTTGAAACCAAGCCCAGGTTTGGACACCATTACCTTATGTCACCTCCATTCATGATGGTCATCACCAGACAGAGGTCAGTCTTGGTCTCAAATGCGTAGGCCAGAGACACAATGAACCTGCTGTGTACTTTGGCCAGAATCCTCTTCTCAACCATGGCACCCTGGAAGCAGAGTTGTGATCCTCAGTCCTCAGAAATGCACTGTGGAGGGCAGCCTGCATGCCGGGCACAGCACGGGGCAGGCTTGCAATGTGTGAGATCCGACATGCATTCATTCAGGGGTACAGGCTTGGTGCCCACCAGGACATCTCCATCACTGCCCTCTCCCTGCACATGCTCACTCCACCATCCCCCACCATCCAGTCCTCGCTTATGTCCTCCGCTAACTCCCAATGCAGCCCAAGTTTCCCATAGACCCTGCTTCACTGTTCACCTTTATTCTAAACATCTGAATGTGTAAAAGGGACAAGGACAATAGGTCAAGCTGATTCGTTCTGCATATGTCCCACCAGGACACTGAAGTCAGAAAAGATTCAATGTTGTATTGGGTTGCATGTAGATGTGGGTGGCCCAGAACTTGAGTAACAGTTCCATAAAGCTGGAGTTATTCGTTTGTTTGCTATTTTGAGACATCTCTCACTATGTAGCCCTGGCTCTCCTGGAACTCTACATGTAGACCATTGAACTCACAGAGATCCACCTGCCTCTGCCTCCTGAGTGCTGGGACTAAAGGCATGTGCCACCACACCTGAGCATAAAGCTCTTTTTTAAAGATTAACATCAGACCAGCATGAGGTGCCGGCCCCAAGGCCCCTGGTAAAGGTGCCTGGATTTGTCTGACGCCCCCACTTGCTGTCTGCACCTAATGTTTGACCTTTCACTGAAGGCTCAGGGACCTGCTTGGGGGGGGGGGGGGGCTGGTGTCCATCCCTAAGAGTTTCACAGCATTATCTGCACTGTACAGCAGGGCTGTGCGGGGCTGTGTCCCTGGGACAATAAGCTGCTTTCGCTGATCCTGCCTTAAGTAGGCACTGACGCCAACAAAGGAGGAAATAAAATGCTGGCAGCCTGCCTATGTCCTCCAGTCATTCTTGTCCCCCGGAAACCTGTGTTCAGGAAAACTAGTCCTGCACTCCAGCATCACAGATGGGCTCTGCCTCATGTAAACAGCGTCTGCCAATGTGATGTTCCGCTGACAGAGTCCTGCCTCACTGTGCATGTGTATAATCACAACAGGAGACACACTTTGAGGAAAGGTTTCTAGAAAGCCAGATACATGCTCCAGACAGCAACGGCCTGCAAATGACTCCCCCTGAACTGCTCCTGAGTGTGGTACATACAGATGGACAGCAGCCTGCCAATGGCTGCCTGAGCAGGGGGAAGGGGGTGTCCAAACGGCAGGATACGCTCACAGTAGCGGAGGCCTATGTAGAGCTCCACAGGTGGGTGGCTGCCATTCTACCGTCCCTCCAGCCCACGAGCACCTTCTGCTCGCCGGGCTCCCGCCCTACCTGGTAGCCCTTCCTCTTCTTCAACCGTTTCTTGTTGAGCTTCTTACAGGCGTACATCTTGCCAGTTGCCTTCATTTGGCAGGCCGACACCTCCCCAAAGCCCCCTTTCCCCAGAACCCTGAAGTCCAAGAACCAGTCTTCGCCTATGGGCTGGCCCTCCAGCCACTTCCACTGGAGGAACCGCAGGAAGTACAGGCTTCCCAGGTACTCCTGAAAGGGGGCCTGGCTCAAGTGATCCAGCGTGGCCTGCAGCAGAGGCTGGAAGAGGCCGTCCTGGCTCCCCATTGGCCCTTCCTTCACCTTTGCCACCATGCCCTGGTCCAGAAAACTGCAGAAGAGTGTGGCCTGTGGGTCCAGGTACTCGGCCAGGATGGCCTGTGTCTTCTGCGGCCGCAGATCGTTGTCGGCTGTGTCATAGTCCTCGATGTCCTTCCAGAGCTCCAGGGCTGGCACATGCCTCTCCTCTGTCTTCAGGAACTGTTGGAAGAGCCTCTTGCCAATGGGTTGCTCTGAGCACAGGCTCTCGAACTCCAGGCTGAGGCTGTCGCGGAGACTCTCGCACTTGGACAGCGGGGGCAACCGGAGCTTGGCCAGATACTTCTTGTCCCGGGAAGACGGGGTGCTGCTTCCATCAAAGCTGCCCCGGGCAGCAATGAAGGCAGAGTTGGCCACGACAGTCTCCAAGGACCCGAAATCCATCCTGATGATGCCTCGTGTCCACTTTAAGTGTTAGGAGCCATAGGCTGAAGTGCAGCTCAAGGCACCTGTAGCCAAAGCAGGCCTGACCCTATGCCCTTGGCCTATGGCCTGTTCCTGCCCTTGTGGGACAAGGGAGGCATGCAGCCGTGGCCGGGATGCTTGGAGAGCCACTAAGAAGCCCTGGGAGAGCAGGACTGACAAGCATCTTGATAAATCCCAGCCCTGGGGTCACCAAGGACACCTTAGGGGTGACCAAGCTGGTGCCAGAAAAAGACAATCCCCTAAGCTGTTGCAAATCGGATTAGAGTGCAGCTCGGCTCTCTCCCCCTGGGTGCTGCCTTCATGATCCCAAGGGAAGGGCACACCACAGACTCCTGGAAGCCCCTGGGGAGCAGTTCTGTCTTTCCCCAGCCTTGGCAGGTGCACAGGACCTGTCTGTGTCCCGCTGGGATGTGGGTCTGCGGTAGGCAGTCCCAGGAGCAACCTCCATTTGTAAAGATGGTTGTCTTCCACACTGTTTTGTTTTTATCCTTCAGAGAGTAGAAGGTGAGAAGCCTCCTGATAACAGGAACGTAGAGGGGAAAGCCCTCAGTGACCAGTCTCCCTGTCTGTAGGTAGGATCATGGATACTTGATGGTGACCAACTGGTCTTCTCCGTGAAGAAGAATTGCCACAAAATGGTTAGAGGGCAAAGATAGGCTGCAGGAGAACCACACACCATCACATTGAGTCCCCTGTCGAGCCAGAAGACTCATGAGACACGGGCCTGGGATGCACCTAGGACACAGCTGGATTCAGGTGGGCATACCTGAGACAGACTTGAAACATTAGGGACACATCTGGGGCACACTCAGGACCCAGCTTAGACAGTAATCACACCCAGGACACACCCGGGAATGGTAGAATCTATGGGCATGTCACCATCTCCTGGGGACCACAGCTGTCATGTCTGCAGGTGCTCCTGACAGTTTGAGGAGGAGCCACAGGGAGTGAGCACTTCCAAGGGGGAGGAGGAAGGGAAGGCGCCCAGCCGCCTTCTCTGAGGGGCGGTAGGGTGTTTCAGGTGGGGACAGGGTCTTCCGTTGTGACCGCAGAAGTGGAAAGAGAACTTCTGGTGAATGCCAGCTCCCTCCCCCGCCTCCCAGCTCCTAGCAAGGGCTTGTGACAGGAAGATTGGCAAGTAAATATTTGAGGTAAACAGTATCTCACTGTCCCCAAGTGACCTGGCCTAGTCCCAGCCCTGCCACTTAGCAGCTGGTGACCTTGGACAGACCATTATCTGATTCTTACACCAATCAGGACCAAAGGGGACATGGTTCTCAACCGTGGGGTACCTTGCCAGCAGAGCCACCCAGAGCACTGAAATCCACATTCCACCTGCCTCGGAGGACCTGGAGGAGCTGAGGCTTCCATCTCGGACAGGCTCCTGGGTGATTTACATGGAAGCTGTGGGACAGGACCATGAACAGGTTAGAGCTGAAGAATTCCAGAGTGCCTTCGCACTGGGAAGGCCCTTTGTAGAAGGGACCAAGGACGATTTGGTGACCAAAGTTGGACAAGTTTGGTTCCTGGCCCAGAATATTCAGACAGAGGAGTGGAGTATATAGTTTATCTCAAACTCATCTCTGGGTGTCCTTGTTCAGTTAAACTTTTGAGGTAATGGCAGAGAACACACAGCTGTGGGGCGGGGAGGGGGGGGAGGAGATGGAGGGGGAATAAGGAGGAGGAGATCCCTCAACAGTAATATCCCCCCCCAAATTTCATCACAGCATCTTAGCAAATATCTGACATGGCAGCATTAGACTCAGGGTACCTATGGCACCAGGACCCTTGGGGTGCCCTTTGTAGACAAAGCCTTCCCCACACCCTCAGCCCCTGGGAGCCCCCAGGCCCACTCTCTGTGGTTACATTGTGCCACTGAAAGGGTGCTGTGTGAGTCTGGGCCCTTTGGGGGACGAGCAATTCCCTCTCAGGGAATTCTCTAGAAGTGGACGGCAGGTGCCCAGAGCTCCTACCTTCTTGTGGCTGAATACTATTCCGTGTTCCGTGGAGATGCTCCACGGTCTAACCAGGCATCCAGAGAAGGACCTTTGGAACTCTTTCCCGGTTTGGGCTATTCTACATAAAACTATTATAAGCATTATCGTATTTTTGTATGTAAGTTTCTACTTCTTTGGGATAAATGTCCAAGGGTGTAATTCTGGGTAGCTATGTGTTTGCTCTAAAAACAGCTGACAAACTGATTTCCAGATGTGCCTTCCATTCCCACCAGCAGCCACAGAAGCCAAACACTCACATCCTTCCTGGGACTGGGATTTCCAGATGTGCCTTCCATTCTCACCAGCAGCCACTGAAGCCCGACACTCCCATCCTTCATGGGACTGGCTTGTTTGGCCATCCTGCCCTGGAAATGTTTTTCATTAACATATACTAATTATACAAAACAATGAGTTTCACTGTGACATTTTCATCCATGTATAATGGACTCTGAACATATTCACCCCCATTACTCTCTGGTCTCCCTCCTCTTCCCACTGATTTCTTTCCCAAATAGTCCCTCCTATTTTCGCGTCTCTGGGGATATCTATGTTTCTATTTTTATCTAGCTTCTGTATATGTCAGAAAGCATGTGACACTTGTCTTTCTGAGTCTGTCTTATTTCACTCAAAATAATAATATCTAGCTCCACCTATTTTCCTGAAAATGAAATTATTTCTTTGTTCTTTGCCAGTTTCTAAAGTTTTATTTATTTATGTTTTTTTTTTTTTTTTGGTTTTTTTGAGACAGGGTTTCTCTGTGTAGCTTTGCGCCTTTTCCTGGAGCTCACTTGGTAGCCCAGGCTGGCCTCGAACTCACAGAGATCCACCTGGCTCTGCCTTCCGAGTGCTGGGATTAAAGGCGTGCGCCACCACCGCCCGGCTTATGTATTGTTTTAATGTATGAGTGCTCTGCCTGCATGTACACCTGCATGCCAGAAGAGGGCATCAGATCCCATTATAGATGGTTGTGAGCGGCCATGAGGGTGCTGGGACTCGAACCCAGGACCTCTGGAAGAGCAACCAGTGCTCTTAACCACTGAACCGGTTTTAATTTACCTTTCCCCAGGGGTTAACCACAGAGATTACTTTCCTAGAGGCCAGTGTGCCATCCAAGCCTCCACTTTGGGGAGCATTTACCCAAAGTGTCTTCCTACCATATTCTAATTGTGGGGCTGGTTTTTATCATTGGATCCTTTGCATGTTGGTCCTGCACCTGGTCCTGTATCACACGGGTGCTTTTCAAATGTCTTCTCCAGGTGACAACATGTCTTTTCATTTATACCTGGGCTTTCATGGGCAGAAGTTGTTCTGTCCAATTTACAGATTTCTTTTTATAGATTCCTTTCTTGGTGTTGGGTCTAAGGGCTCTTTGACTAGCCCTAGGTTCAAAGACTTTGGACCACATCTTTTCCTGAAGGTTATGATTCCCTCTTTACATTCAAGTTCATGATCCACTTTGAGTTCATTTGTAAAAGGCATGAGATTTAGTTGAGGCTTTTTTTTTCCCTAATGAAAGTCCAACTACTGCAGCAGCATTTGTTGAAATATAAGGGTGGAAGAAAGGACCAGCGCCACAAAGTTGCACACACATAAACACACATACGGGTTGGAGATTTAGCTCAGTGGTGGAGCGCTTACGAAGCAAGTACAAGGCCCTGGGTTCGATCCTCAGCTCCAGGGGGGCGGGGGGGAGGGGGGACTGTTTACATCGCCGGGCGGTGGTGGCGCACACCTTTAATCCCAGCACTTGGGAGGCAGAGGCAGGCGGATCTCTGTGAGTTCGAGGCCAGCCTAGGCTACCAAGTGAGTTTGAGGAAAGGCGCAAAGCAAAGGGCCGGCAATATGGCTCAGTGGGCAGAGGTACTTGCTGCCAAGCCTGACAACCTGAGCTTGATCCCTGGGACCCACATAGGGGAGGAGAGAACCCCCTCCCTAAGTTGCCCTCTGCCACACACATGCCACGGCACATGTGTGACCCCTTCCCTAATAAACAAATAAAAATGCGATTTTGAAATTGTAAGAAAGGGGCTTTGCAGACACCGCTGTCCCCGTCACTGCTTGCCGCAGCCATGGTCAGCCCACACTCTTGACGTCTCCGCCGATGGCGAGCCCTTGGGCTGTGTCTCCTTGAGTTATTTACAGACAGTTTCAAAGACAGCAGAAAACTTCCGCGCTCTGAGCACTGAGAGAAAAAAATTTAGATATAAGGTTCCTCCTTTCATAGAATCATTCCAGGATTCGTGTGCCAGGGTGGTGACTTCACACACCGTAATGGCACTGGAGGCGGGTCCATCTCCAGGGAGAAATTTGAGGATGAGAACTTCATCCTGAAGCATACAGTCCTGGCATCTTGTCCATGGCAAATGCTGGTCCAAACACAAATGGTTCCCAGTTTGTTTGTTTGTTTATTTTTGAGATAGGGTTTCTCTGTGTAGTTTTGGTGCCTGCCCTGGATCTCGCTCTATAGACCAGGCTGGCCTTGAACTCACGGAGATTCACCTGGCTCTGCCTCCCGAGTGCTGGGATTAAAGGTGTGCGCCACCACCCCCCGGCTGATTCCCAGCTTTTCATCTGCACCTCCAAGACTGAGTGGCTGGATGGCGAACATGTGGTCTTCGGGAAGGTGAAAGAAGGCATTAAACATTGTAGAAGCCATGGAGCGTTTGGGGTCCAGCAAGAAGATCACCCTTTCCACTCTGGACAACGCTCATTCTTTTGACTTGCGGGCTTCTTTCCCACCAGACCATTCCTTCTGTAGCTCAGGAGAGCACCCCCACGCCATCTGCTCAAGATTCCCTGTACTGAAGTTCTCTGGGTTCCATATTCTCCTTATTCCCCTCCAAGTCTAGCTGGATGGCAGAGTTAAGTTTATGGTTATGAATAAAAACTAAGAAAGAAAAAAATGTGAGAAAGGATGATCAGAAGAAGGCACTAGTCTCTACAAGCGCCACGTCTTCTTTCTTTAAAGATACCATCACGTACACAAACACTAATTTCTCTTAGGGCTTTGGGATTTTCTAGCAGAGGAGACTGGTTGAATCTAAATTTACAAGTGTAATGAGTCATGCAGGGGAACACAAGGCAGGACAGTGTCCCCTGACACTGTGTAATACAGCTGGAAGCGTCTACAACAAAGCAGTTCTTAAAAATCATGGAACCATAAACCTTGTGAACAAATAATCTGCAATTTTACTTTATTAATGGAAAACATCAAAATAACACCAGGAAAGCCTAGTGTTATTGAAATTAAAGGCGTGTGTCTCCAATGTTGGCTGTATCCTTGAACAAACAGAGATCTACCTAGCTCTGTCTACCAAGTGCTGGGATTAAAGGCGTGCGAAAGCTGTTGAGTTATGTCAGAATGTATATTTTAAAGATACCTTGACTTCAAAATTTGGATATAAGGATATGTTGCTTTGGAAAGGAGACTTTGCTTTTGTTCCCACAGAAAGCCAGAGGCTATGGATTTGTTCCAGATTAAGATACATCAGGTTTGACCACCCAAGACCCCCTGAAAGGTCTCTGATGACACCATGGCCCAGATGATCCAACATCCAGAATGGTTTCAAGGCAACTGGCTCAGACAATACAGCCTCATGGACTATTCCATAATCCTAAAATTTTCTTTGGGTCCCCATAAGATACAGCGCCCCCCTCCAGCAGGAAGTAGTAAGAGAAGCTACGCCCAAATTCCCAAATTATATGTAATTTTACTTTGTTAAGGTTAAAACCTTCCTTTTTGAAAAAAAAAAGTGGGGGAAGTGCTGTGGGATGTTCTGTATGGCAAATGTGTTACTCTGATTGGTTGGTATTGAGATTAAAGGCGTGTGTCTCCAATGCTTGCTGTATCCTTGAACACACAGAGATCCACCTAGCTCTGTCTACCAAGTGCTGGGATTAAAGGCATGCGCCACCACCGCCACACTCTTGCTACGGCTCTAATAGCTCTGACCCCCAGGCGACTTTATTAACATACAATTAAAATCACATTTCCGTACAAGTAAACTACCACCACATAGTGTGTCCGTGTTTTGCTTTGCATGAGATCTCAAGGTGAAAAAGCTTTTAGCACACTTTGCTCCAAATCCCACCATGGCCAGACCTGGGGCCACACCATGGGGCAGACTCTTTTTGAAAGAAATTTGTCAGGGATTTGTGTGTGTGTGTGTGTATGTGTGTGTGTGTGTGTGTGTGTGTGTGTGTGTGTGTGTGTGAGAGAGAGAGAGAGAGAGAGAGAGAGAGAGAGAGAGAGAGAGAATTAACTCACTTGATTATCTCCAGTTACATCTCTTTTCTTGCAAATTACATCATTTGTGTGTGTGTGTCTGAAAAAAAAAAAAACGCATCGCTTATATTCTTTAATCATTCCTCTGCTGTCAAACTCTTATGCTGCTCCTGTAACTCAGCTGTTGCAAACACAGCTGAAATAAACATTGATGTGCGAGCATCCCTGGGATGTGCTGCCTTAGCGTCCTGTGGGTGAATAAGCAGGGGTGGTATAGCTGGGTCATATGGACGACCTGCTTTAAGATACCCTTCTAATTTCCTGTGTTCTCTCTGTGGTGCCCGCTCCTGTTTAATGGACGGAGTTGGTGGAGGCAGGTGCTTTCTTGGGTCTTTCCCTCCCTATCAAAGTCCAGTGGAAATGAATTCATGGAGTTATTAGAGGTCACATGTCATCGTCCCTGCGCCTCCCTTCCCAGAAGCCTGTGTCACTGAGAACACTGATGACAGTTGGTGGATTTCTCAGGCCGTCTGTGGACATCTTGTGCCTCATTTGGAATATGGCTTTGCAGTCATCCACAGTCTTTGTCCCACTGTCCATCTCTGTTTCCCATGGGTCTGAAGCTGACAAAGAGAGTTCCTCCATCTTCAGTTTGAAAAGGTCCCAGATCTGCCCTAAAATCTTCCTGCTTCTCTCCAACAGCCAAAGGCCCGGAGCCCAGGAGGCTATCCTAACACAAAGCCAGAGTTGGAGCTCATGAGGAAGAGGAGAACAAAGATCCCATTTGCTTATGGCTCAGGACAAAGCAGAGCTTGGGTGGCTTCCCGAGAAGTCCTTCCCCCTCGCCTACATTACCACAGTCTGTCTAGATTGCCGCCCAGACCCAGTGGCATGACCCCTGAGCCCCCAGTCACCCGCTCAGCGCATGTCTGCTGGCAGCACACTAATTTTCCTTCAGTTGATGATGTCTAGATTTTCCCTTTACCCGTAAAGATTTTTTTTTTCTAGACTTGGGATTCTGTCTTGATCATTCTTTTCTTTCTGCACTTTTTTTTTTTTTTTTTTTTTTTTGGTTTTTTGAGACAGGGTTTCTCTGTGTAGCTTTGGTGCCTTCCTGGAACTCACTCTGTAGCCCAGGCTGGCCTCGAACTCACAGAGATCCGCCTGGCTCTGCCTCCTGAGTGCTGGGATTAAAGGTGTGCGCCACCAACGCCTGGCTTCTTTCTGCACTTTTAAAAGATTTATTTTTCTTTCATGTGTATGAGTATCTTGCCAGCATGTATATAAGTGCACTACATGTACCCAAGGAGGTCAGAAGAGGGAATTGGACCCCCTGGAACTCGAGTTAGGGATGGTTGTGAGCTGCCATATAGATACTGAGAACAGAGCCCAGGTCCTTTGTAAGAGCAGCCAGTGCTCTTAACCACAGAGCCATGTCTTCAGCCCTCTCTTTCAGCACTGTAAAATCATTGTGAGATTTTTATTCTGGCCTCTAACATCATGTATGAAGGAGAGGGGAGTTTCATAACTGCCAGGCGGGGTCAAAGTCTAGGGCTCCTTTCTCTGGAGCTGTTTGGTGGGGCACCCAGTTCTGTGTTCTCAGAGCATACTGTGGGAAAACCGCCCTCTACCAAGGTCTCAGCTGCTGCTCCCACAGACACGATTATTGGTCACTTTGACAATCCATGTGTGGTCTAGAAACTCAGAGGTGGAAAGATGGAGTTCAATGAGGTTCAGAAATAACTCACATCTTGTTTGCACGTAGAGCTTTTCCATACTCACTAACAGACAATGGCTATGGCGCACAGATGCCTTCAGGGCCCTGTTTGCCAGTCCCCATGCTTGGGTCTACACATGCCAGCTCTAGCCCCACAGATATCTTCAGGTGCCCACACATCTGGCTCCAGGAGTACAAGCAATTTCCAGACCCTGCACATCTGGATCCAAGTCCATGTGGCACCCTTAGGCACATATAAGATGGGCCCCAGGTGGACAGGCACTGTTGTGTCCCTACACATAGACCCCGGACCCACAGGCTATAAGCAGCTAGATCTCAGCCACTGCCATTCACTTGCTTTTAAGATCCTAACATCATAAGTGGGTCTGTGCCAAAAAGACTGAGCAGGATTGGTCCACTGAGAAGTTATAGGCATCCAAGCTACAAGGATGTAAACCCATTTAAATTTTAGAGTGTCTGTTTGCAGATGACTAAACCATATTAGGAGGTGTAAGCTAAAAGCTACATGGTTTTTCAGGGGTTGTGCTTCTTCCCAAAGAAGCCAGTTTGGTTACGTGGTCACTAAGAGGGAAAACCTGTGTAAATGTGACAACAATGAGCTCCTGGTGGTGACCGCTCACCTGGCCAGGCTTTGTCTTTGGTACATTTGAAAAGGTGCAGGGCACATCCCACTTCCTTGGCTGATCCTCCCTTTCAGGAGTAGGCGCTGCTTTCGACTTGAGTGGGTGGCACCTTCAGAGCATTTAGGGAGCTCTTCCCCTCTGGCACACCGACAGTGGCAGAGGGGCACCTCTAGAGCACCAGGTGGGGACAGGCATCCAGCATCTGCAGCCCTCGTGCGTTTCCCACTTACGCTCTTGAGCTGGACCTTGGCGGTGCCTCCGACTGCCAGCAGCCCATCGGGCTCTGAGAAACACTCCACCCAGCAGCTCCACCATCAGAAAGAACCTCCTCAGCAGAAGCCGGGACGGAACTAACAAAACCCAGGAGCACCTCCGGATCCTGTGACTGGGATTCTCTCGCAGACACAAGGAATCCTAAAGGCACGCTCGCTGGTCCTACTTCCAGCAAAGGGAAGGAGAACATTATTCTCATGGCAGAGGCTGGAAGACAGGATCCCCCCCTGACAGCGCCTCCCTCTTGGCTCACCGCTCTCCTTTACCTGTTCCCTCTGTGACTCTGGCCCGACCACCACCAGCAGGTGAAAACTCTTGAGAAAGACGGGGCTGTAAGGCCACTCCAGGCAGTTGTGGGCACATTTCAGGCAAATTCCCTACCATCCTAATGAGGAGGGGAGCCTTAAGGAAATGGTTCAAGGCCCCAGGGACCTGAATGGCAGGGTGACAGGTCTCAGGCCTGTGGCCTTTGGCCTGGAAGGTACCAGTTTGTGTTTTCCCTCCTGAAGGAGAGATGAGGCACAACCTGGAAGGCTGTTCAGCCCGGAAACACTTCTCTTCAGTTGCTATCAGGGCAGATTGAGCTGTCAGCCAAGGGCATCCCAAGGACCAGTTGACTTCTGGGACAGTAGAGGACAGATATCAGGCAAGCCCCACCCTCCCTTGTGTTTGTGGAGGTGATAGTGGGGAGCTGATAGCTGGTTCTGATGCCTTTGGCCTCACGCAGGGGAGACTATAAGCCTGAGAGGACGCTTCCTGGGCCCAGTCCAGGCAAGCGGGAGAGGACATGGCAGCCCTGCAGGAGAAGAAGTCGTGCAGCCAGCGCATGGCCGAATTCCGGCACTACTGTTGGAACCCGGACACTGGGCAGATGCTGGGCCGCACCCCAGCCCGGTGGGGTAGGTGTGGGCCATGTGAAGGGGGCATGGGATGAGGCAGGGGGCTAGCAGACGCAGGATCCAGGCCCTGCTGGGGCACCTGGGAACACACTGCAAGCCATGCGTCACCTCCCAGCAGGAAGCCAGGGTCCCCCAGACGGCCCTGAGGCTCAGACTCCGCAACACCTGTAATGCAGGTCCAAGACGGGCCCCAGCTTTTCATTCATAATTTTGAAACATCATTTTAAAGCTCTTTCTGAAACTAATTACTGTTTTAAGTTAGAGCAAGCAATGGTAGCTTCTTGTTCAGATAACGTGGGAGGCAGGGATTTACTTCAATGGGCTTGTTCTATTGTGAGAGTGAATCGCCATGACTCTAACATGCTGGGCATATCTGGAGACCTCCCTGATTCCCAGGCTGCCTCTGAAGTGCTCTGTGCCGCTATCATTCTCAAGCGTGGAATAGGTGAGCTCGGGAGATATAGCCACAGAGTCCCTTCCTTATGGCTGGCCTGTGGTGACCTGGGGGACCCTTTCTTCTGGGGCCACTGTAGGAACAGAAAAGTCCTCACAGACTAGAAGGCTGTGCACCTGTTCAGGACGTCCCCTCACAGAGTGTCTTCTACAAACAGGAAGTACTCCTGAGACCCCAAAAAGTGAATGTCTCCCAGGCTTTCCAGGACCCATGACATGGGAGTTACAGACAGAGCTTGGAGGGGTGCAGTGAGGGCTTTGCAAGGCTACATCACTGGGGAATACAGGGTGTATGCCACCTTGCTCCTTAGAAGGCAGCCCCGGGCCTGTTCCTTTGGGTTCCCGCAGCAGTCATATGGGGATACAGTCCAAGGTCCTTCAGGTCTGGGCACACATTAAAGGCTACTTTGGCTGACCTTTTACCACCCATCTCGGGGGGCTTGAGAATGAGATGAGAGTATACTCACAGAGGGTGATACCTCATCACTCAACTCTGCGACAACTCAGCCAGCCTCAGCCCAGCTTGGATGTGCTACCACATGAAAAGTATGCACTGTTCACGGAGAAGGAGATAGGGTACTCCCTCCTCAAGACCCTGAGGCCTCCCAGGGGCAGAGAGCACCCCTAAGGAGTCTCTGCCGACTTAGGGAAAATACAATAAATTCCAGAGCAGAGAGGAAACAGGAGGTCACCATTCACCAGTGGGAAACACAGAAGCAGAGCTAGTCCTGGGACCATCCCAGGAAGTGGGTCACCTGAAGAAGGGACAGCAGATGGGGTTCTGGGGCAGATGATGGGGCTGCCAGGTAGCCTCTCAGGAACCTTGTGTGGAGGCTACTCTAGCCACCAAGCTTCCTACAAGTCTCCTTGACGGCTTCAATGTCACTCAGAACTTTCTGGAATGGTTTCACAGCCTGACTCAAGGACTTGGCCTCAGTTTCTGGGGATGACATTCTCAAGGGAAATGGTAGAAAGGAATGGAGCAAGTCACTCTTAGGGAAAGAGGCACACGCGGTGCTCAGAGGAAATGGGGGCTGGAGACCACAGGCTGAGAACAGCAGAGGTCTCAGTGACCTGGGGCATACCGTGCCACCGGTGCCACACTCTTTCTCTGTGTGACATGGAACTCTTACCACCAGTAGTTCCCAAGCTGTGAGAGTCCATGGCATTGGCCACTTGGGGGAGCCAAGCCTGATGGTAGCAAAGCTGGGATCCTTCATCTGCACCTGGGAGATGTTGAGCTCTGGCTCTCACACCCATGAGCTGACTAGTCAGGAAGAGGGCTTGTGAGGCAGGATAGACAAGCAGCGAAGCTGAGATTCTACCTGTGGTCCCGGGAAAGCAGATGAGTTAGACAGAGCCACATCAGGTAGGAACTGTAGGAACCTGTAGTGATCACGTCACCCCTGCAATGGGAGCTCTCCCTCCATTGGGCATCCACCCCTGTACACCAGGACGCTAAGTGGGTATACAGCTCTGACAATCCTATCAGCACAAGGTCAGGCCATCCACCGGCCACTACAACATCCAAACCCAAGTAGGGTACAAGGTCTCCACGGAACCACAGTTCTGAGATAGGCAACTGCTGTGTTGACCCTCCAGGGAGGACCTGTCAGAAAAAAAAAAAAAGACCCCAATCCCATAGCTGACCTCCAGCCTGTAACCCCCAACCATCTCTGTCCCCACTGACTTGGTCCTGCCCTTTAGTCACTTTTTGGGTCACTGAAGAAAGACTTACTGGGAGAAAGCCACACCCACATCGTGCATTTGGAAGGGGCATCCCACGTTCTTGGGGACCTTCCCAGGAAGACCAAAGCCATGCAACACAAAGACCCTCTTCTGACAACATGTTTCTTAGCAGTGGCTCCCATGGCTAGAAATCATTCAAACACAACTGTGGGGACTTCAGAGTAGCCCAAGTCCAAGGCCATGCCCCAGATGGGTGTAGTCACCCTGACTCAAAAGGAACGTCATCAAAGGGGTCTTCAGGAGCTCAGGGAGCCTGGCTCACACTGGGGTTGGAACATCTCCTTTCACTGATGCTTAAACCAGCGTGCTGGGAGCCACAGGAGCTGGGCCTGCTCAGCATGCCTGCTAACCTTCTCTGCAGGACACAGGGCAAGTACCTGCCAGGTCCTCAGAGCACAATCCAGATATACTCAGCCATAGCCCTTCCCAGCCAGACCATGCACTGCGGGTCACTGTGGCCAGCAGCTACCTTTCTCTGCCTTTCCCATCCTGTAGTGTGGGAAGCAACAGGAACTCCAGGGAACAGAACAGGCTCTGGGATCCTGCCACGATTGCTGTAGATACAGTGATCAGCGAACCAAGCACACATAGTTGCCACTAATGTGCAAGGGGCGTGACAGGAGCCCACATAAGGCCGTGAACATGCCCTGTAGTTTTGTTTGTGTGTGTGTGTGGGGGGGATCAGAGATGGTGTAGGGTGGTGAGTTCCAGAACTAGAGAGCGAGGGTGAGAGGGTGCCAAAGAGCTCGGGGATTCTATTTGGATGAGTAAGTTCTAGAATTCAGTAGAGGTGCTGATGGTGCAGCATCCATCGTGAGTGCATTGCATGCCACCAATTGTGCCCTGTGCCAGAGATGGAGTAAACTGTGGGCCTGTGCTGAGGACATTGCCACAGCTGAGGCTGCCACTTCCACCTCTCTCTTCACAGTGTGGATCAGCCTCTACTACGCAGCTTTCTACGTGGTCATGACGGGGCTCTTTGCCTTGTGCATCTACGTGCTGATGCAGACCATCGACCCCTACACCCCAGACTACCAAGACCAGTTAAAGTCACCGGGTAAGCATCAGGGGGGCTTCAGCAATGCTCTTGGGGAACACAAAACAAGGCACAGCACGGAGTCCCTTCCTCCCCCACACACCCAGGACACGGGGTCCCACAGCTTCCCAATAGGGACAATGACCCTAAATTGCAAAGTCTGACTTTGGCTTTAGTTTTTAGGTAATAAAGGGGGCTAGGAGGGAGGGTCACTGGGACAAGAAGCCTGTGCACTGGCATTTTATGCTTATGCACACACAGGGGAGTGTCCGCAGAATACACAAGAGATTGCTGGCAGGGAGTAGATCTGGGGGTCGTAGGAGGAAGATCTGGGATGGAAACACCCGCTTGCTCACTAATCCCAGGGAAGGATGAGTGGAGACCTGAGACCCAGTCATCTGAGGCTGAGAAACATGAAAAACAAGTCCTTTTCCCTTTAAATCTTGAACAGCTGTTCTTTTCATAACACCCATAAAAACAGCAAAGCCCTGGCTCACATAAACAGAAAGCCAGCCACATGAATGGGCCAGGCTGAGCACATTGTGGATTATTTCCCACCAAAGGCCACATGGTGTTTGTGGAAAGAATGAGTGACTTCACGTAAAAGGGGTCAGGGAGTAGTGTACCAAGACTAGACAAAGACGGAGGTGGGCGGGGTGGCTCCAGGCCACTTGTGCATGTGTCTGCACCATGAACTCATATCCCTTACGTCCCATCTGTTAGCAGAACCAAGACCACACTCAGCGGATGTACAGCAGACTGAAGTGACTCAGTGACCTCTCTCTCTCTCTCTCTCTCTCCACACACACACATACACACACACTTAACCTATTAAAAATGATTTTGCACTTACTTTTAAAACACTACACTGATTCTAATTATTTTTTACAATTGTTCATTTATTCGTGTGTGTGTGTGTGTGTGTGTGTGTGTGTAGGTGTGTAGGCCTGCACGCCACAGCACACGTGCAGCAAGAAGACAACCCTCAGGAGTTGGTTCTCTCTTTCCACCATGTGGTTCCAGGCACCACATTCAGGTCACCAAGATTGGGTGGCAAGCACCACCTTTACCTGCTGAGCTTTCTTGCAGCACAAGTGAAAAAATATTTTTACATTTTTTTGCTTGTTTTTATGAGCATGGGTGTTTCACCTGCACGTCTGTCTATGCACCTGTACATGTGTGCCCAGTGGCTACAGAGGCTGGCAAAGGGCATCAGATGTCCTGAAACTTGAGTTACAGATGGTTGTGAGTTGCCATGTGGATGCTGGGAATCTAACCTGCCTGGGTCCTTTGGAAGAGCAGCCTGTGCTCTTAATCACTGAGCCATCTCTCCAGGCCCCAAGGGAAAATTTTTCTTTTTTTCCTTTGAGACAACCCTGGCTGTCCCAGAACTCTCTCTATATAGACCAGGCTGGCCTCAAATAGAGATCTGCCTGCTTCTATCTTTTGAGTGCTGGGATTAAAGGTGTGTGCCACAACATTGGCTCCCCAAGTGAAACACTTGAGGTGTGTTCGGATTCCTTTTCCCTGGAGACCTACCTGCAGGCTATGTGGAGCATTCCCCAGAGGCTAGCATCCACTGCACCAGTCTTGTCATGACTCCCCCAGGCCCAGAGTCCCCTGTGGAGCATGCATCCCCATTGCTGGGGCCTGGGCACCCCGAGTCTCAGGGACAGAACAGGCTCTCATTCCTGCTGTGCTGCATTCTGCAGAGGTCAGGGGCCCCAGGACCTGTGTTCTCAGAGTTCTTGGGCCCTTCTTTAGAATGTTACTGCCTTGGCTAGAGGGTGCCTGTCCTGCAGCTCCCTCCTAGGAGGGTGAGGAACTGATTCTACCTCAGATGCTATCTACCTGTGGTTGGGGCTTGTGCGAGACTGGACAACATCGGGGCCCAGGGCTCAGTATAAGTGAGCGCTTGGAGAAACCGACCAAGGAGGTGTTCGTTCTTTCCAGGTGTGACCTTGAGACCTGATGTGTATGGGGAAAGAGGACTGCAGATCTCCTACAATGTCTCTGAAAACAGCTCCTGGGCTGGCCTTACACACGCCCTCCACAACTTCTTAGCAGGTGGGTGAACACCAATGCAGCCATGTGCCTGTCAACTGAGAGAATCCCTCCATGAGGAGGACTCAGGACCTCCTCCATGGGCTGTGTGGGGCTGGCTGATGAGAAGGTGTGTGTTCCACAGGCTACACACCGGCATCCCAGCAGGGCAGCATCAACTGTACCTCTGAAAAGTACTTCTTCCAGGAGAGCTTTGCAGCTCCAAACCATACCAAGTTCTCCTGCAAATTCACTGCAGACATGCTGCAGAACTGCTCAGGCCTGGTGGACCCCAGCTTTGGCTTTGAGGAGGGGAAGCCCTGCTTCATTATTAAAATGAACAGAGTGAGTACCAAGGGCCCCACTTTAGAGGAGGCCCTGGAGTGGTAGGAGCCCCCTCCTCACACTTAACAATGGGGCCTGGGCCCTTTATCATGCCCCACCCTGACTCCATACACATTCATCGTGTTCAGCTCTTAAAATACAAATCTAGAATTTTCTGCTCAGACAGTGTCTTGTAAATACAACACAGAGCTAATAAAGGAGAGATCTTCACCAGCAGGGGATTCAGACTGGGAGAAGCTGGGGGCATTCTACGTGGTCTCCTTCTGTACCAGAAACAGGAGTCTTTCAGGGTTGGTCCTACAGGAATCACTGGAGCTTCAGTGGGATCTGAAGCCTAGTGGCCGCAAGTCCCACCAATGCCCTGAGAATAAAGACACAGTAAGCAAGTGGCAGAAATGCAGTAGAGCTGTGTGGCACTCAGGCAACAGGAGCTCAGGGTCACACTGTTCGAGAGACCAAGTGGCAGGTGAACACCCAACTGGCCTTGCTGCCTATTCCCATTTTACTAGGTCTTAGAAAGCCACACACTCATGCACCAAACTCAACACCTAAGTCCTTCGGCTGGGAAGCTCTCCTCAGAGCTGCCTGGCACGTTGTGATCAGGGCTGCACTGGCCCATGTAGCAGTTGACATTCCTGCCAAAGGCAGGTCCTGCTCAGACAAAGCTCAAGAGACAATGACTGGGGCTCAAGAAGTCTAGGGAAGGAACGTGGGGCTCGGGGGACCCCACTAACAGCAGTAGGTAGACCCATCCTACAGCAAGGAAGGCTACTACACATCACCACAGCAGATGGGAACATCGTGCCGGTGACCAGGGCCCCTCTATCCCAGCTCCGCCATTGCCAACCCCCCTCCTAGACCACAGTAGTACCAGGGGGGAAATGGCTCAGAAGCATGTGTGAGTATCCACCTGCACATCAGGGGTACATCACAGCCTTTCTTCTAGATTGTCAAGTTCCTTCCCAGCAACAACACAGCCCCCCGAGTGGACTGCACGTTCCAGGTGAGCACAGCTGGGGTTGGGAAGGGCGGGACTCGAGGTAACCCTGGGCACATGCCAACTGTCATCTGTCCGCCATCTCCTGGAGTGACGGCACAGAGAAATAACGCCATAGTTACGGATTCCCCTTCATCAGGTCTGCGCAGTTACTTACATTCCAGAAAGCCTGGCATAAGGTGGGTGGCCCACCATTTCTACTACCACGCTGTCCATAGTTTTTATTTACAAAAAGTATTCCAGATCACCAACAGCGCTGTTGCTTCACGGGGCTTGGCATGTCTACTTAGGTGGCATGAATCACAGAGAAACTCTCTTACAAAATGACTAGGTACAACATCAAACACTAAACTGTTTTCCAAGGCTTGTTTTCAATGCCGAGGAGCCCTAACCGGCACGTCCAAAGGGTACACCCGTGAGTGATCCAAGGAACAGCTATCCCCTCGGAGCTCTGTCCCTAGGGCTCAGGCGTTGGCTTGTTCTTCGGGGCTGTTTGAATTATTTTGGCCACACACAAGCTGACCTTAGAGGTCATTGTTCCTTGATGAACGTAAGCCACCCATTGGGCAGGTCTGACTCCAACAATGAGAGGAAACAGATCCCAGGAACCTGTGTTTACACTTAATCCAGAAAACCGCACAAACCCTGCACCTGGTTTTGGCAAAGGAGCCGTCGGTCTTGTCAAACCCTTTCTTCTCACATGCTAATAAGCAAACACCGGCTTCCCCAGTTCCAACACTCACCCAAGACACTAAGACGGAATAAGCGGGGTGGGAAGTGGCGGAGGTTTGGCAGTTTGAGAAGGCACCAGGGTCTAAGGCCGGACTAGGAACGCCAGCCAGGTGCAATAGTCCAACTCTACTGCACTAACACACAAAGTTCTGATGTGATCGCTGGCATTGATAGCAGTGTTTGCCGCACAGCACATGCATAACTCACATGTGTACTTGTACACAAATGGACATGTGCCCAGTGCTTACTAGACTTGGCTGTGGTCTCTCCTCCTCAGGATGATCCCCGAAACCCCCACAAGGACACTGAGCCCCTGCAGGTCGAGTACTACCCACCCAATGGTACTTTCAGTCTCCACTACTTCCCCTACTATGGCAAGAAGGCCCAGGTAGGTCTGCTTCACTCTGCCCCAATGCACGTGCTAAATTCCCTCAGACTTGGCAACAGAAAAGCCATCTTCTATAAAAGCAAGACAAAGGCAGAGCAAAATGGTGCACACCTATAGTCCTAGCACTTGGGAGGGGGAGGCAAGAGGATCAGGAGCATAAGGTCATTTTGGCTACAGTGCAAGTTCAAGGCCAGTCTGGGCTGCAGGAGATTTTATCTTGAAAAAACAAATAAGAAACAAAGAAAACGAATGAAAGAAAAGACATGACTTATCCAGTCCTGGACATTTCTTTTATCCACTTAGAAACGCACCTCCCAAAAACCATGAACATCCACCTGATTCCCTTATAGTGCAGGGCCTCCCACGTCCTCCTAGGATCTAGGAATCTCTCCAAAGCATTTCCCCCACGCTGCATTCTTCCCCCCATTTTACTTTCACATCTTGTTTACCGTCTGGAGCCCCCAGAGTCAGTACTCTTATCCTACCTGCTCTGCGGGCAGAAGCCAGTCTCTCTGTGACCCAAGGGTCATTGGATCAAACAGGCCTTACCTCAAGATAGACTTGAAGAAGAGTCCTTTATGCCTATCCCTCCCTTCTTCAGTTAGTCTTGTTTTTCTTAACATCCAGGGTTTTTTTCCCCAAGCATCTCATCCCCCTCTTCTTCCACTTCAGCCCCACTACAGTAACCCTCTGGTGGCAGCAAAGCTTCTCAACATCCCCAAGAATACAGAAGTCCTCATCGTGTGCAAGATCCTGGCAGACCATGTGACCTTCGACAATCCCCATGACCCATATGAAGGGAAAGTGGAGTTCAAACTTACAATACAGAAGTAAGAAGCTGGAGTGGTCATCCACACCTACAGACGCCCCGCCGGCCACTCCCCCTTGACTGCACGCCCGCCCTCTGCTGGCCAGCGTGCACAGCCACTTCAACATGATTCAGAGCTGATACCACTGCCCATCTGTTGACACCAGAAAGTGCTCCTGTCCAGCACTCCCCTGAACACCATCAGCTTTCTACTAAATCCAATCCGATTGTAGCTGTGGGGTTAACACAAGAACCCAGAGTCCTGTCATCACTGAAGAGACCCTAGAGTGACCCGTCTGTCTGTATTACCGCCCTGTGATCACCTGTCTTTCCTGAACTTCAATATGAACTAAGTGTAACACTGGTCACTCCAGCATGAAACATTCCCAATTTGTGCTTCTGAGACTACAACACCTATGCCACAAAAACAAACTATATTAAAGTTATTCTTATTCTGTGTGGAAAAGTCATGTCTTTCCTGACCTGGGAGAAAATTTTACTGAGAACCAAATGCTCTTTTCTTTAAAGCCTTTCTATGATCTCAATCACAATACAGGTGGCCCCTCAGCCACTGGGGCAGGCATCTCAGAGATGTATTAAGGTGCAAGGATGTTCAGGGGACTCCACACAAACAGCCTGCCACTTTGTCCACTGATCTACCCTGGTGCCACCTCCAGTCTCAGCCTCTAAGGTCTCAGACTCTTTCCTTCAAGATACTCACACCTCCTATTGCCTCCTCCCCATCAAAAGAGGTTGCATTTGTCTTTTCCAAGCTGAGACAGAACACAGCTCAGGAGGACACACGTGCACGTGCACACCCACGGTACAACAGGTACAGGGCTTCCTGGGATGTAAGACCCAGATACGTATCTACATACACCATTCTGTGTACCCTTTTCATGTTCCACACCCTGTAGAATATTTTAAAGAAACTCAAGAGTTGGGGAAAAGGGTCATTTTCACTTCCATTAGCAAGCATGCAGCTATTTTTCCAAAATAGCCACTGATTTGACCAAGCCAAGTAAAACATCTAGCCCTCTGTCTTAATTAGGGTTATTACTGCTGTGATGAAACACTGTGACCAAACTGGGGAGTGGAGGGTTCATTTGGCTCACACTTCCACATCACTGTTCATCATCAAAGGAAGTCAGGACCGGAACTCAAACAGGGCAGGATCCTGGAGGCAGGAGCTGATGCAGGGGTCATAGAGGGATGCTGCTTACTGGTTTAACCCTCTTGGCATGCTCAGCCTGCTTTCTTATAGAACCCGGGGATGCCTCTACCCACAGCGGGCTGAGCCCTCCCACATCAATGAATAATTGAGAAAATGCACCACAGGCTTGCCACAGCCCAGTCTTATGGAGGCATCTTCTCAATTGAGGTTCCCTCCTCTCAGATGACTCTAGCTTGTGTCAAGATGACATAAAACTAGCAGTACAATTGATCCCTTGTCACTTGACACACAAACATGTCACTGTTAAGTCACAACCTTTCCTTTCTCACTCATCCCTGAGATCTCACATTAAAAATATAAATAATTTTAAAAAGTCCCACAGTCTTTACAAATTCAGACATATTAAAAGTTTATCCAGTTAAAATATCCAGTCTCTCTAAAAATCCAAAATCTCTTTTAAAAGTTCAAAATCTGCCAGGCGGTGGTGGCGCACACCTTTAATCCCAGCACTCGTGAGGTAGAGGCAGGCAGAACTCTGTGAGTTCAAGGCCACCTTGGTCTACAAAGTGAGTTCTAGGAAAGGCGCAAAGCTACACAGAGAAACCCTGTCTCGAAAAACCAAAAAAAAAGTTCAAAATTTCTCAACTGTGGGTGCTTGTAAAAATAAATATTAAATTAAATACTTTCTTACTTCAAGAGGGAAGAACCAAAGCATAGTAACAATTAGATCAAAGCAAAACTGAACTCCCAACAGTGTGAATAATGCAATGCCCAATGTCTGGGATTCACTCACAATCTCCTGGGCTCCTCCAAAGAACTTGGGTCACTTCTCTGGCTCCTCCCCCTGCAGCACACACAACTTGTCTCATAGGCTCCAGCTGACTCCATTCCACCAATGCTGTTCTTGGTGGTCACCCCATGGTCCTGGCATCTCCAAAATGCTGGTGTCTTCTGCTGCAACTGGGCTGCACTTTCACCAATAGCCTCTCATAGGTTCTCTTCACGGTGCCAAGCCTCAGTGAACCCTTCAATTCTGGGACTTCAACTACCATGGAGTCCGCACCTTCTCCAGTGGCCTATCCTGGATTCTCACAGTGCCAAGCCTCAGCTGCTTTTCATGACCCCTTCATCACTTCAAACCCGGCACCACCTGGGTGACTCTTACACTACCAAGCTTGGCTGCCAGCACAAGGTACAACCTTGACCATCTTTGAAACAATGCTTCTGTGTGTGGACTCTGAGGAAACACTTCCCAGATTTCACCTCAGTAATGCTGGTCTCTTCTTAATCACCAATAATTACTCAGCTCCAGCTGACCAGCATCAATTGTCCTGGTAAAGCATGGGTTTTACTTCAGTGGTTCTGGTCTCTTGTTAATCACAGCTGATTCTTCAGCCCCAGCTGACCAGAACCTCAGATTCTTAACTCAAAAGTCCTGGTAGAGTCTTTCCTTCCCTCTGAACCTTCACAAGCCAGGCCTCCATTGTCTATACTGCATTGTCTATCTTCCAAGCTCCTAAAGAACAGCTCACTGAGATCTCAATATTCAATGGCTTTTCTAGCCCAAAGTTTCAAAGTCCTTCCATAATCCTCCCTCAAAATAGCATGGTCAGGTTGTCACAATACCCCACTCCTGGCACCAACTTGTCCTAGTTAGGGTTACTCTTGCTGTGATGAAACATCATGACCAAGACAACTTGAAGAAGAAAGGGTTGATTTGGCTCACACTTCCACACTGTAGTCCGTCACTGAAGGAATCCAGGGCAGGAACTCAAACAGGGCAGGAACCTGGAGACAAGAGTTGATGCAGAGGCCATGGAGAGATGCTGCTTACTGGTTTGTTCCTCATGGCTTGCTCAGTCTGCTTTCTTATGGAACACACAATGTGCTGCACTCTCCCACATCAATCACTAATTAAGAAAATACCCTATAAGCTTGCCTTCAGCCCGACTTTATGGAGACATTTTCTCAGTTGGGGTTGCCTCCTCTCAGACGACTCTAGGTTGTGTCAAGGTGACATAAAACTAGCCAGTACACTGTCTTTCATGCCTGGCAGTCTTTCCTTCCCACCTACCATAAAATTTGCCAACTCAGCTTCTTTTAGGGCAGCCAGGGATATCTGCTTGCTCACACAGCTTCACATCCATTGTCCCCATCCATCTACAGTGCTCCTCATCTCCCCACACAGACACTGTGCCCAACAAGCACTAACTACCCACCCCAAGCCCTGACAACCACTCCACCTTCTATTTCTTTGAGTCTAACTTTGGGGCCTCATATCAGTGGGACCATACAGTACTTTTTCTGACTGGCTGATGCTGAGACTCTCTCAGGTTTCATCACGTAGCAGAATTCCCTTCTCAGTCAAGACTAAAGTTTTACTGTGTGTGTAGACCACATCTTATCCTTTATGTAATCGCTGGGCACTTGGGTTGTTTGTACCTTTTTGTTATTGGTGACCAATGGTGCTATGATCACACGTGTACAACTGTGTCTTTAAGACCTGTTTCCAAGGCTTTGCACATACACCAAATTCTTGTTTTTAATTCTTTAATTCTTTTAATTCCACTGAGGTGACTGCATGTCTTGTCTCCACCAGCAGAAATTCAATTTCTTATATCCTAATCAACATGTGTGCTGTTATAGCAAATGCTTGAGATAAGTCACTTAGTAAAGAACAAAGGTTCATTTTGGCTCATGGTTGTGAACTTCAGGTTGACCAGCTTTAAGTGTCTGGTAGGGGCACCATATCATGGCAAGGCATAGTGAATGAATCTGCTCACATCACAGTCAGGAAGCAGAAAAAATACAAATTCCAGGATTCCTTTTAAGGGCAGGTCCCCTAAACGGCCTGGAGACTTCTCACTAGGCCTCACCTTCTAAAACTCCCCAACTTCCTCAAGTGCTAAACTAAGAAGTAGCCTGTATGGGTCTTGGGCTGGGAACAGGACTCAAGTGGTAACATCTACCTAGCTTGCACAAAGCCCTGAGTTAGAACCCCAACATACATAAACCAGGTGTGGTGACACATGCTTGTAATCCTAGCACTTGGGAGTCAAAAGTAGAAAGAACAGGAAGAAGTTCATGCTCACCTTCAGCTATATAGCAAATTTAAAGCCAAACTGGGATACCGGAGACCATGTCTTAAAACAACAACAACAAAGCAAAAACATGATCTAGACAAAAGCTTTGAGGAGCCGTTACAGATCCAAGCCATAGTGACTTGCCATTTACTCTATTTCTGCATCACATGTCTTCATCTTTGAAGAGATATGGCATCTCTTTGTGGTTCTAATTTCCATTTCTCAATTCTTGTTGCTATCAAGCACTTTCCCATGTTCTCAAACCACTGTCCTCCTTCATGGAGAGGCACCTAACCACAGCCTTGCCCATTTTTCACCAAGCACTCTGCTTGCTATTGTTTCGTTTTCAGGGTTCTCTCCATTTTACATATTACTTCTCTATCAGGGTTTGTAAATATCTCTTTCATTCTGTGGTATGATGATTTATCTCACTGTCAACTTGACCAGACTCAGAATCACTATAGAAACACTTTCAGGATATCTATAAGCTCTTTCCAGAAAAGTTTAACTGGACAGAGAAGATTCACCCTAAATGTGAGTGACACCATCCCATAGTCCAGACCTGCATAAAAGGAGAAAAGGAGCTGAGGACGGGCATTCATCTCTCTGCTTTCTGATCGCAGATGCAGCGTGGCCAGCTGTTCCATGTTCCTGCCGCCATGCCTTCCCCACCATAATGAACTGCACTCTCCCACGTGATGAGCAGAAATCAGCCCTTTCTTCTTCAAGCTGCCCTTTCTCAAGTGTTTGACCACAGCGATGAGAAAAGTAACTAATACGTGTGGGTTAGCATTTCTCTCTTGAGTGTCTTCCAATGTACAATTTAATATTTCTTTCCTGAGGCTTACAGTGTTGTTTTTTATTTGATGTCTTTGGTGCCATAAAGAAATTATTGCCAAATCCAACACTGTAGAGTTTTGCCTTGGTTCCTTCAGTTTCATAGTTTCAGGTTTTACCTTTAGGACTTAGGTCCATCTTAGCTTTAATTTTTTTTTTATTATTTTATGTGTGGGTGTTTTGATTGCATGTATGTCTGTGTACCATGTGGAAGTCAGAAGGCCTGAGATCTGCTGGAACTATAAAGATTGTTGGGAGTTACCACGTGGGTGCTGGGAATCAAATCTGGGTCCTCTGCAAGAGCAGCCAGTGCTCTTAACCAC